AAATTTAAAAGATGTGACTTCCTGCCTTCAATTATCTACATATGCAGCATCGTCTCAAATACAGACAGGTAAAACGGATGAAGATGTCGATATCAGCCAGCCAGTCAGAAGAATCTGAGAAGCAAGGCAGCACACCTTCATCCATTCTTTGCAAACCGATAGTTGAATATCGATGCGATGCTCACTAGCGACTTGCCCTATTCAGGTAGGTAGTTATCTGAGGTTCTAGTGAGAAGTCGTGACTAGTAGTAGGTTGCAGCAGGGCGGGTGTCAGGACAAATACTCGCCGAAGACATTGGTTAGGGGTCGTGCTATGTGGTGGATTGGCAGAAGTTAGAATTTCACTTTTATTTGTTTTTCTCTAATCTTTCTACGTGAAACACTTGAAAACATTATCATGTTTTACAACCGCCTACTTCAAACAATTCAGTAGTGTGAGAGACCTTAGCTAAAACATTATTACCCTGAGCTTCCTACTGATTTGTGATCAAAGTCAGTAAACTACCTGAAGGAACTACGTTTAATATCGGATTCAAATTCACTGAACAATTATACGTACAAACAAGACTGTGTAGCTATTGGTCGGTCTCTTCTTGATCTACTCTTAGCTGATAGTATCATAGGCAGTGTCGAGAAAAACAACATCCATCCTCTCAATCAGTCAACTGCACCTGTATAAGGTACACGTGGATGATACGTTAATAATAATTGATAAAAAATTTGATTTACACTCTGTCCTTAAAACTTTTGATGCGGCATACTCATCAATAAAATCCACCTCAGAACGTGAATCAAACATGCCATTTACATTCTTGGATGTACTACTTGCCAGGAAGACAAGAGTGAACGATCCAAAGATGAAAATTTCGCAAACCACACGTGGACTGGACGGTTTATCAACTTCCAGAGCTTCGTCCTACTGATCCTAAAAGGGAAACCTAGTAAGTACATTATCTTCAGGGATTAAATAATTCCGTTCCGATGAGATGTTAGATGGAGAATGAACTGAATCAATTACGTGAAACCCAGGTGGAGAATAGGATTCGACAAAAACATGAATGAAATACCGCCGTCGCAAAAACACTGTAACTGTCCCTTAGAAAATAGGAAAGTACCCAAATTCACTATTTCCAGAGATAATTAGACTAGATCAGCTTGAAATAGACATATTCTGGTTTAATATTTAACACAATCTACCTCTAGATTTGATTCTCTACCTTAGGTTTGTTTCTGCTTGCTATCTACCAGGAAGTACTTTGTTCATAATTTCAAACATAATAAATCTGTTTTAGTACTATCTAACTTAATGTCACATCCCATTGTCAGGAGATACGAATTCAGCGAAGTGTAGAACTCAAAAGACGCTATTGCGTGAATGAACTTCCTGCTGTGCATTTCTGCAAAAAAGAATTTTCTGCAACACTATGGAATATTGTTCTCACTGAATTTTGTGGTTAATTTAGACTTCATTGAGCTGATTTGAAAATAAACTGGCCCTTATTGGGTTAGCATATTTCATAGAGAATGTGAAGGTGACAATGTATTTGAGTGACCCAATATGTGAGACGTAGCATGCAATTCTGTCTCTGGCTTAACACTGAGTGGAACCTATTGAATTTACTGAGAAAAGATTGTTTAAATTTGCTGACGTCAGTGATCCGACGAAACCGAGGCATTGTGTTAGCAGTTCTGATCGTCTAGAGGTTTGTATTATTCCATGGCTGAAAATCAAAGCAAAATTCTCTTATCACAATGTCACTTATTTGACAGAATGTATTATGGATAGAGAGGCATTTATTTGTTGTTCATATTCATAACACTATAAGAGGTCTTCCTCTTCTTCACTTTCTCTGGCTTGTGTTCTTTAACGAGGTGTTCTTTCTTATTTTAGGTTTATTTCCTCTTATAAATCTCGCCCCATTTTAGTGGAGCCACTCTGCTGAGTATACCGATGATATGACTGTTTCTATGCCAGTGGTTACCTGTTGTTCACACTGTTCCAAGATAAATAATTTTTCATCGGGAATTGATCTGTGATCCTTTAGTCCAAGTGGTCTTAATCTAAATTTCATGAAATGTGTCACTTACTTACTACCTATGTCTTTTCCAGCGGTACTCATCACCAGTACTGTCGTTGCAGCCAATTAGTCAGCCTACTTCTCCCAACCGCTCTATTCAAAATGTGATAAGAGTAAAGGTGTCTTGCTTATCATCATCAGCATCACAATAGGGAAAATCTGACTATCAGCAGTACAATGTTACCATAAGACCAGACCCTACACTATTAGTTTGACTATTATTCAACCGAGCTTTCGGTCACTGCGGCACCTGTAGAGACATTCCTTCTAGCCAGTAGAAGCGACTGAGTATTTAAGGGACTGAATATGTTCTTAATAAGCACAACATGATTAGCTTCTATTACTGCTACCACACTTGATGTACTGCTACAATGCCCATCTGTTCAGCGACTAGTCTGACCGAGTATCAGTCATATCGACAGATAAATCATCAAAAATACTGAGTAGTTCAGGAAGATAATCAAAAGATCAGTACTGTTGCATAGCATAGATGCTAAACTCTCCTATACGCTGACGGCGTAGAAATATGGAGGGCGATGAAGTGTCCGGAGGACTCAGATAGGCTACAGGAAGACCTAAACCTTCTGGAAGACTGGGCGGTGGCCAGTGGCATGACTTTCAACTTGAAAAAGTGCAAAGTAGTGAAGTTGCGCACCTGTAGACTGCAGAGTGCAAGTTACACCCTGTGCAATGAAAGCTTGTCCTGCACAACGTCGGAACGCGACTTAGGTCTAGTTCTAACGGAAAAAATGGACACAAGCGTAAATTACACAGGGGATGTAGCGAGGGCATATGCGGTCATACACTTTACGCATAGACAGTTAGGTGCACTCACTCCTGAGCTCTTTCTAATGTTGTACAAAACGTACGTCAGGCCACACCTTGAGGTGCATAATATTATTGCACCCCCAATGCTGAGAAGAGACGCCAACCTCTTGGAAAGAGTCCAACGACGGGTAACAAAAGGAGTGGTTGGTCACTGAAACAAACCATATGATGAAAGGCTGAAGAAATTAGGCCTGTTCACACTTAGCTACCGTCGGCTTAGGGGGGATTTGATTACTGCCTATAAAATAACAAATGAGCAGAATCACCCAAACAAAGGTGTTCTGCCATTGAATAGGTATAGGCTCCCACGTGGAAATCCCAGAAGGATAGCTCACCAGAGGGCAAGGACCCGGGTGCGCTCCCACTTCTTTTCACTGCGGGTTCGCCGTCCCTGGAATTCCTTGCCGGCAGATGTAGCTATGGCACCGTCTTTGGACGCCTTTAAGCGAAGACTGGACAACCATGCAGCGATACAAGGACTGCATCCAAATGGCCTATCTCCTTAAAATCGCATACACCATTCAGGGGTAGACAATTAAACTCGTCGGTTTACTTCTTTACATTCTCTCCCGTCTTACTCTCCTGACAACTTATTAATATTATAATTACTATTATTATTATTATTACTACCGATATATATATTATTCTTCAAACTTAATGAGCTGACTGTTGTTACGTTTCCTATTTCTGTTTCTGTCTCTTAGTCTGAATAACTTCACTAATTATATCTATTATTATTATTACTATTATTATTATTACTATCTCTTTTCTCTTGTCGACGATACCGAAGGACTAACTGGCGAAAGGATCAACTCCAATCACAGTAGTAACAGTCTTAACATACCTCATACTACAAACCACATATAATTAATCCCAGCACTACTCCCTTTGGAGTCAACCAAAGCTACGACAGTCGAGTGGCGGAACAAGCTACGCAGAAGTTTACCGAAGATCAGGAACCTATACCTTACAATCAAGAAGCGAGCACAAAGAAATCAAATTGGTTTATACTAGCTCGTAAAAACGATATTGGATATTGGATGTGAACAGAGTTGTTGAGGTCATTGACTGTTCCTATTGAAAAGAATTAGGTGTTACCGCTAACTGCTGCAACCGGTATGTTTTCCAATGTAGATTTTTAAGTATCTGGGTACATACACTCAATTTCCGTAATGAGGGATATTTGGCCAGAAATCAGATTAATGTTTGCACCATGAATATGATAATTGTGACTTTAAATATAGAGAGCCTCAAGTTTACTAATATTTGCTGTCAAAGTGGATTTTAATCAGCATCAACTTCACAAAAAACAGAAACTCGCCTCAAATCCAAGTAATTATTAGTCTGAGTGTGTTGCCAAGAGACGCACATGTATATGTAATTATATTGAGGTATTGAGTGTATTTAGTACATGATGTTTCGTAAATAGTGTAGTTTACGTGCTGGGCGTCGTTCGTAGTGATACCAGTATCGATTGATAAGCGACTCCTGATTAGTTATGGAAAAATGATTTGGTGTGCACATACTAAGTTTAGCGGTTGAAAACATTTCGTGTCATTTATTGTGTCCGCTTTATGGTCTGAGCCAACCAAGTGCCTCGTGACTGTAGTGACTAAAGACTTACTTTCTCTTAATTACAGACTGTTAAGTACCTGTTCAGAAAGCTAAGATAGCCCCTTTTGCATTTTTGAATGTTCTCTAATTAATTTAAAAAGTATGATTCTCTCTGATTATGAGTCACTTTTCTCGTGTTCAGTTCCTCACAGGTTCCTCTGCTATGTAGGTCCCCTCAGTTTCGATAAAATCAAATTCTAGGTCAGAACCAATTACTGCAAGTTATGAAAATGCCAGCAAAGTAGCAGACCACATCAAGAAGCAAATACGAATAGTGCCAGAGATAGGAATAATCTGTGGAAGTGGGCTTGGTAATTTGGCTGATGGAATAGAAGATAAAACTGTCATTCGATATGAAGATATACCGAATTTCCCTCGGACAAGCGGTGAGGCGTAAACGAAGCTTTTTCATTCATTTCAGTGGTCGGACATGCGGGCAATCTAGTTTTCGGTAAACTTGGAAAGCGTAAAGTGGTTGCCATGCAGGGCAGGTTCCACATGTATGAGGGTTACTCTAAAGAACAAGTAAGATGTGATGTATATTACTCACCTTCCACCGAAGATCGCTCTTCCTATTCGGGTATTGAAATTTTTAGGAGTCAAAGTGCTTATAGTAAGTAATGCATGTGGTGGTCTGAACAGAGGTTTCAAATGCGGCGATTTCATGGTGATAAAAGACCACATAAGCCTACCCGGTCTGGCTCTGAATAATGTGCTGATGGGATCAAATGAGGAGAAGTTTGTTGCAATTAATTTTTAAATTTATATTAAATAGGTTTGGACCCAGATTCTTAGCAACCTCAAATGCATACAGCTCCGAAATTCGTAAATTGGCCATTCAATTAGCTGAGAAAATGAATATTCGTCATTTGGTTCATGAAGGTGTATATGCTTTTACTGGTGGCCCAACATATGAATCCCCTGCTGAATGCAAAATGTTGCTCGCGATGGGTGCAGACGTGGCTGGTAAGTCAGAAGTATGGTATGCACAGACGAATTTCTCCTAAAATGCTGATTACAGCTGGTTGATCTGCTCCTGAGGCAGAAAAGATTGAGGATAACTTCTTAGGACTCATGATGTTAAAAATGGTTAGTTGGTATACTAAGCTTTGTACGGAAAAGTAATCTGCACATATGGAGTGTATTAGATGGTAATTTTCAAGAGATTTGAAAGCCAGTTGATATAAATACAATTTAATTACACTGGTGTGAGATTGTTCGTATGTTTCTTAGATAGCCTAAACTCTTTAACATACTATTCTTCCCACTAAGATTCTACTTCCGGTCTCAATAACAAATCTGTGTTTCTAATCACTTTATTCTCCTTATCATGCAAATTTAGGTTAGAAACTCATGCGTACGTTTCTGTTTTATGGCGCCTGCTTTTCTGTAAAATGACTTTTGTGTGTGTTTTTGGGGGTAGAACTTACTCTACCTTCTTTGAACATAATGTACCCAAGTAATGAAAGCATCAGTTAGATTGAAGTGAAATTTAAGTAAATTGCAATGATTCCCATGTTCCATATCTTTCTAGGGAGTGTCGAAATACAATTTCTAGCACTATGTTGATCGAATTCAAAATAGAATTTGGCAGACTTACCAACGTTTGTTTTTTGAGCGGAGATATAAATCAACTAACGTAGTGACAAATAGATTGAAGTACTGGCTGACTAAAATACAACGTAGGGCAGACAGTTGATTCCCGAGTAATGTTTTGTGTTTAGGCTCGACTTGACAACTAAAATTTGGTAATATTCAGGTTCCAAAAGTATTATGTTAGCATTTCATAACGTATTGAACCATTAGATAGCACAATTGAATAAATAAATAAACTTCATCGCGAACTCTTTGAAACTCATCAATTAAAAGGAGTGACCTGATTCCAAGTAATCATATTGTAGTTGGAATTTATAGCAACAAGGTAATCCCGCAAAACTATAAAATACTGTTTAGTAAGCTTATGAAAAAGGATAATAAAGAGTTCTTTATCAACTTCTTTCATAGTATTGCAATTTATCGACTTCTTGATAGTGTCATACATTGGAGTATAAATTCATATTTCATAACAAGATACTGTTTAATGTCACCAGAAGTACTGAAGGTGGAAGAGAACCTCAGTTCATCTAGCGAATATATATTCTCAAATCAATTATAGCCAGTCAGTTAGGGAATGGAAGCAAACGATTTCTGAAACAGATGATGATTCGGTCGAAATAACACTCACATATTTTGACTTTTGTCATTATTTACTGAGAATTCAATGTGTATTTTCTAAATATGTTGTAGGCATGAGTACAGTACCAGAAGTGTTAATCGCACGTCACTGTGGAATGACTGTCTTCGCTGTTTCATTGGTTACAAATGTGTGCATTCTCGATGTGGAGAGTAAGGCAATAGCCAATCATGAGGAGGTTATAGCTATTGCAAAGAAAAGTGCAGACATTTTACAGTCATGGATTAAGGAAATAATAAGCAATGTTTCAATTGATAATTAACTGGATAATAAAGACGGAAATAAATGATGACAGTTCCACTAATCCCTTGCACAAATCAATTTCACTTACTTACTGCCTGCATGCATTCTGTTTGAATGATTCTTATGTTGTTGTATCCTATCTAACATAAAACACGATGATGGTGCTTCTATAGATGCCGTATCTTATGACTATTTCCAACATCTTCACGGTTGTGCAAAAAACACACACAAATGGAGCCAACACGATACGAAATATCGCCAATAATTTTTCTTAGATTGGTGTGAATTTTGTTTTTATTCTGTATTGCTTTTATTTAAGATTTAATCGAAGATAATTATTTCTCCCTTATATACACGTCTTTTCCACAGTAAACTAGAGATATTTTAAATAGGCTTTCGATGTTGAATATCAACGTTTCTAAAGCTATGTGAACATGCTGGTATGTCTTGTTAACGAGTGTTCATAAACACAAGAACTGAGAGCAGAATCTCTCTATTCGGAAGATTTATCATCATTAGTCTCAACGAAACAATTCACAGAATGTTTACATCCTCCTGTTTAGTTTTCTGACAAATACACCAGCATCGGGCATACCCGACTGACTACACTGAGCACTTGGTCTCACATTGGAGGTTCTTAATGAACCTCTGAAATGTAACCTTAAGCCTAGTTAAGCAAAGCCTGCCTGCATTAGAGTTCAGCGCTAATTTTAATCATTATGGGAAGCCTTCACACAATTAAAATTTGTGATCAAATCGATGCAAGATGAAGTATTTTGATGCATCCACTAAGGTTTTCGCGAATTGTGTCTGACTCTTTATAGATGGCTTAAATTGAGTTGAATTTAGATTACAAACAGCATAAGACTGAGTGATGCCTTCAAAGCATCTAGTACGCAGCTAGATAGAAAATACAATTTTCATATCAAGGTTGGGCGAAAATAAGTATACAGTCATTTGTTGACTTCTGTTGATGTTCTTGAACTGTGCAGAAATATGCGAATTTATTAATTACTAGACAGGATAAAAGTTGTGAAGTAGTAATTGTGAATAAGAAAGAATACATAGAGAAGCTGACTATCATATCGAATGATCACAGAAAATTTCAAAAATAGTTCAACTTCCAAACTTGACTGATGCAAATTAATATACACCAGAAAAGGACTAGACACATTACGCCAGTTACTATTGCTAGCTAGTGTCCAAACAAAATATCCAATACAGTCCGGATAGCTCAGTGTGGTAACTTCTTTGATTGCAACAGTCACTGGGTGAGGTAGGGGGTTCGAGTTCCAGAGAAGATATGGGTTCCTTCCCCCAAGGTTTCAGATACGCCTGGATAACTGGTGAGTGGAAACTAGGACAGAAGCGAGGTGGAGCACGACTTTCTGTGGTCGATCACCTCCAACCACTTAATATCAACAACTCACAGTGCAGTGCATCGTAATGGCATTCACTTAGCATGGTGGACAGATTTCAAACTTGACTAACATCAGAATTTAGTCTGCAGTAAACAAGGAATATATTGCACTAGTTACTAGCTAATGTCTAGTAAACTTCCACTGACCAAACTGGAAAGGTTTTTTCCACTATGTCCTTTTGAAATTCCCACGTGTGGCTCAGGCATTTGGGACTACATATTTACAGACATGTACGAATTCTATATAAGGGGCATATGTTCTTCATGCTGACAATCACCTCCAGTAGGAAATTCCATCTGCTAAAAGTGCTTGCTTATATGTAACAGACAAACTTCCTAAAATATCATCAAGTGTACCTGAGTATCAGTGCGAAATTCAATGGTCCTTTCACTAGTCGTAAAATTTGAAGTCACTGAATATTTATTGCATTGATTTGTGGCTTTTACATTATACTCACCCATCCTAATGCCTTAATTGTGTCCTTACTAAGGTCGAATCTCGTACAAGTACTTTAAGTTTATATATATGTATATGTCAAAAGTGATGACTACAGGTATGCTAGTGTGGCATGTGTTGCTGACAAGACTTATCGGTAGTATATAAAGGGATGTTCACCGGCACAGAAGTGATATCAAATAGATTTAACATCAAAAAGGGAGGAAATGAACCAACCAGTGCATTACGGCAAAACATGGGATACACGAAAAGAAGAAAGGCAATATGAAGGGTAGAAGTAACTCACAACACGGAAGATCTGTGCAAATGGTGATTTTAATATAAGGTATACATAATTTACCCATATGTGTATATCTGGTTGTAAATAAATATTCTGTTACCAAGTCACTTGTCTTCTAGTATTACATTTAGCGTCCCTGTCTCCAGACAATGAAGATCCCATGACTCTTTGCTTTCGAATAAGGAGACATTAGGAGATGTTGGGGATGCATCTGAGAGGTCAGGTGATAAAGGGACCTGGAAGGTATTATTTGGACGATTGTTGGTAGCGGAGTTCGACTCATGGGCAGGTGTCAATGTGGTAGTTCCGTGCCATGAAGCTGGGACCAAAAAGACGCACGTTAGTGTTGGTGGTGAAGCTGAAGAATCTACTTCGTCGTATGTAGTACATTTGGGATGTCATTTTAAACAGCCGTTTTTACGGTCATTAATTTGATGTATTTCGTGCTGACTGTAACTTCTTAGGAAGTGAGGACCATAAGTTCGTTAAATTTCGTATTCACTGTAGACTCCGCTACTGTAAAGAACTAGTTATACTCTAGGGAATTTTCACACGGGAAACAAACAACTTCAAATTATGAAGATATTCAAAAGGAGAGTTGTCAGTAGTTGGTATTACACAGTGGAATAATTAACACTGAGATAGCCTCACACTGGTTTCCATAATTAGTAAAGCAGCAAGCAACTAGTAAGTGGTGGAAACTCCTAGATTTTGAAATTTAAAATCTTCTGTGATGAGTATAACTTAAATAGAAGTAAAAAACTAGATGGCATTATGAGAACACTCGTTATTCTATTAGCACTTTAGAAGAATAATGATATAATTCTTGAATGGTTTTTATTTTGACTAAATGAAATGCATAGCATTAAATACTAAGTTATCAACTTATAATAAAATGCCAAAAAATGATTTCATCATGAGTTAATATTGGCGACAGAACCATTAGGAAACCAGTAGGGAGTACTGCGAGACATCTTTTCTCGTCATGAACAGCATTTTCGACAGGCCACTGGAGATTTTATGAACAGATCTCCATTTCGCTGTCTCCTTACGTATTGCAGATCAAATGGCCGGCGAGCGAGAAACAGTTAGCAACAAGAAACTCAGGTAACAAATGAGAAGGAGATGAAAGACAATGGGCAATCTTGGGGCGAACCAGCTGAGGATGACCGCAGGCTATAGAACAAAGTGTAGGTGTGCCTTTAAAGGCGTATGTTTCACTTGGAACTCAAGGAAACGATAACGATAATGATGAATTGTCCTTACAGAGGTGTTGGTGTAATTCTTTTTGACAGGGAAGACTGTATAGAGTTATTTAAGTATGTACTCTCAGACAAAATTAAATCTTCTCAACATTCCAACGATAAACAACTAAACAGAACTGATTGAGAAGCAGTTTACCGAAGTCTTAAGAAAAACAGAGGACGATAAGTTAATTAGCTGAAAAGTTTGTGATCATATCCAACTAAGAGTTTCAGTAGTACCAAGACTTTGGGGTTTATCAAAGATACACAAAATCGGTCGCTTACTGTCTTCAATTCTAGATATGTCTGGTTTATTTTTTCATTCAACTGCAAAACTATCGGTGGATATCACGAATTCTGTAAGAAAACATTTGTGCATATATTCACTTCTTGACACTTTGCAGTTCAAGGTATGAACGTTTCTGACAAAAGTCTGCCATATTTCGACAATGAATCACTTTTCCTCATTGTACGACTTACAGGAACTGTCTGTTTTGCATGTGAATATATAGATTCCCATTTATGCATTTAGAAAAAAAAGCAACAGATTGATTAAAGGAATAAATTCTTTTTCAGTTAGTTCCCCATCAACGGCTCTACACTAATATATGGTTTTTTCTACATGAAGATTATGCCAACCAAATGGTTATTTTAGTTATTCAGTGTCAGGTAAAGGAGGTAGGTGGTGAGGCTGAGTAAATTAAGTAACTTCCACGTAGTTCTACGGAGTCACGCTGTTCCTCTTAGTTATCATTATTGTACGAATTTGTTGATTATGTTAAAACTTGTTGCTAACGCCTGAGAACCAACTTGTCTTGAATTCCTGAATTAATTTTCACCCCTCCTGGAAGACTTAGATATCGTGTTACTAACATCTATTAGTGAATAGTTTTGATAACTTTTAACCTCTTAGTCCCCTCCTTATAACTGAAACTGATTAATTAAAATTACTACTTGATTGATAGAATTTTCATATGCAAAAGAAAATGTATGTCAGTGTTGCGTCTATGATGAGGAACTACTTCTATAAGAAATTTAGATAAATCCCTCGCCACTCACATCCAACGCATCTGTAGCTCTGACGCCGTAGAAGCAGAATTAGGCTTTGTGAGAGAAGTTTTCATCCCAAATGAATAGCCACTGAGATTCATTGACAAGAACATCAAACTAAAAGTTCAGAGAAGTGAAACAATAACATCCCTCCCCAAAAGACTTTACAAGAACTTTGATCTGAAAAGAGACTTAGCTTGTGATGTCCTAAGAAGAAAAATTTCATCAACTTTAAAATCATTCTTCGTAGTGATGTCCAGTTTGGCGTTCTACATCTGTCCATTGGTCTGTAAACGTCTGAAGTACAAGATCCCACATCTAGGTGCATATATATACCAGTAACCTGTTCCTGTGGGGCCAAGTATATGGCCGTTCTGTGCGCACCCTATCTAAAAGTGTTCAAGAGCACACTGAATCGCAGTTAGTGTAACCCATGAAAAATTCTATTGAATGATTGTGGGCCGATCTGGAAAGAAACGTATAAAAATGTTAAACGGTTCCCAATATGATGTGAAGCGATATACAACCACACTTAGGTGGATTTTTATATCGACTTTGTGGTTTGATA